CTCGGGGCCCCGACTCTTGTGTCCCAGCCCCCGCTATGTCCCGCCATTCGAGGCCCGACCGTCGATTTCGTTCTGGAACCGACACTGTCAGGCCCACCCACTCTCGTGGATCTCCATTCCACTCGCTGGGTAGGGTAGATCCTTCGGTATCGTCGAACGCGCTCGGATCAGGGCCGTATCTTCCTGCGACATTCGCGATCCCTTTGTCCACCTTCGTGTGGCAGTTGCGTCTACTGCAATTGTCCTTCGACCTTGTACGTTCGAGTAATACCGTGACCGAGAAACGAACGAAAGGCTTTTGCGGAACGGGCTGTCCGTCTAATCCGCTGGGACAAAGAAAAACACTTCGAACCGTGCAGCGGATTAGGCGGTGTGCACAGCGGGTACGAACCTATGGTTAAGTCGGCTCGCGAACGTTTAGAGCTCGGGGGTGTAATTTTCTCGGGAGGAAGAACGAAGTAAACCGTTAACGCGGTCGTTCCGTGTAATTGGAGACAATTGGCACGGTCCTGATTGTTCGTTAAATCTGATTGCGCGAATATCTATCCTAGCTAACCGCACCGAAGAATACTTTCTTATCGAGCGAGACTATTCGTCGCGAACGATTCCTAACCGATCGATCGTTGGTTCTTTCGCGCTCGTTACGATTCCGCGACGTTTCATCGCGCGGTGTTTTGCGCGAACAATCAAGGGATATTGATGAACGTCGACGTTACCCGAATGCGTTGTGAGGAAACGTTAATTGTTTCATTGTAGGGAATATAATGCGATTCGCGAAAGTGTAACGCGATATTGGTTATCAGTGCAGCTTTGAATGAGTCATCGAGAAAGGGAACAGCAGCTGCATCATAAATGGACGGTTACTTTTCACTGCCATTCGACCGCGAATCGCTTCACATAAATATCCGATGATAAAAACAATAGGTGGCCAAAGGCGGTGTTTACCGAAATAACATGGAAGCGTTTATGGGTCCATTCATACAAACGTTCGTCGAACACGGTCGTGGTTGTATCGGAGATGAACAATGGAGATTACGAACAACGAAACATTAGGATATTCTTTTTTTTCTAATATCTATTCCAATATCACTTTTTGCCTAAAATGACCACAAATTGTTTAGCAGTACTATTGTCTCGTTGCACCGTTTGGGTGCCATTGCAAGTCTATGACAACCCCGATCTTACGTTAACAGGAAGAAGGGATTAAGATAATATTCCGAAGGTTATGCTTGTTCTTGACGATAGGAATTTGAAAGCAACGAAGGGATCGAAAACGATAATTGCGCGTTTATTATTTATTCCATGAGAAATTCGTTGATTGCGATACGGTCCTTATTCTTCAGCCTTATTCTCGTAACGGCGAGGAGAAAGAAAGAAAGAACTCTTCGGGTACAATGGACAGCGTAATTAAGAGTCAAAAGTTTTTTAGCTTCATTAATTACGCGAACACTTCAAACGATGCCATTATCATCCCGAGAATGCTGCGAGCAAAAAACGGTGCGCTATGCATAATGTACTTTCGTTTCTCCTTGGCTTCGGGGTCATTTTTCTGAATCGATTCAGGGGGAAAAATAATATACGAGTGCCTTAATTGCGACAGACTCGTAATTATATTAGAAAAATGAAAAGGAGAGTCGTTATTTATTCTGAATTTTCTAAAGAATTGGGATCGATCGAATAATATCAATAGTAAATGAATCGTACAATAAACGTATGAACAAAATTACTTTA